GTGGCCTTATGTAACAGTTTTCAATGCCTTTGTACAACGACAACATGTGACTATCGAGCTCCAAAATTTCATATTTGTATCTATGATATTAAATTCAACATATCGACTTTATTAGGTACAATAAATTTACTAAACATCTACCTGTGCGTTTCTATTTTTGAAGAGTGTATATGTTCATTTGAAGTGCGTTTCAATATTGAACATTAGATCAATCGTGGAACTGTTACTAAAATAGTAGATGTACTTAAATCTGAGGTACCACCTAGGTTTTCGTTTTTAACATATGCACATGTCAATGTTTTTTTGCAAGAAAAACACCTTCCTTCACCCACACTTGAGTTGATACCATTACTGTTTGGTTTCCAAGTTCAAGCATCGTCTTACACTACGCTAATTTGAGTTTTCAATTACACTGAATTTAAGTAGAAAAACATTTTAGCATAAGTGCTGCATAATGAATCAACCATTTGCCCTTAATTAGCTGTCCCAAGCTTTTAGTGGTAGTCAGTAGCCTACCATTTCATCAATAACTTATGCATTTGTTGAGGCTAATTAACAAAACCAAAATATTGTCTTTTTAACTTCCGTTACCATATCTGTCCTCAAATGCTTCCAGTATACTTTTGTAAGCCATGATAGTGTCCCTCACAAATATGAAATAAAGTCACAACATAAAGTCAATATTGGTATGAAAAATACTATTCCATAAAAAAACATACTATCACTGGCCATTGACAAACATTAGCAGTATTAGAATAAGAAAAAAATATTTAAATACAGTATGACGTGATGATTTGTAAGCATACAGAACACCCTAGACAGGTAAACCTGCACAAACTACTTCAGTTTCTGTACTGTACTTGGGATTTTTACGAGCAGTACATCCTCTTGCATCCTGCTTTTCATTCTACCCGTCGGATCGACTTGGCCCGGGTGGTTAAAACATCTTTAACATCACGACTGTTGTAAGTAAGTGTTTAAGAGGTCGCCTTCTGCCTAAGCAATTTCGGCTGACCTGTCCCTCTTTGGGACTCCTGTGAGTGAGTAGGGTACACATATCTAATGTGAGTTTGGTATTCACATAATTTCTGTTTTCGTATTAATATGATTTCTATTTTCGTATATTGATAAATTTTCGTTTTTTATCTTTGGCTGCTCTGTTTATATACATTCGAGTAGCTGTCCATTTCTCAGAAATAGAGTTAGTTTGGCCTTCGCTATTGCATCTCTTGGCTTTAGGAGATCGATGACATATAGCGCATCTAACTGCAGTTCTTGTTTTAACCAAGCCCGGGCTGGGGCATGGTCTTGACATTCCAGTAACAAGTAAGCAATGGATTCAGCCTGATTGCAAGATGAACAAACCTTGTCATGGTGCTTTTTGTGACCTAGTCTACGGCGCGAGATGGTAATTTCAATTTTCCTTTCATTTGAGTATGAGTTTGGCTTTTGTTTGATCTTGGGTTGAATTTTGTATAGCCATATCCGGATCTTACTTGCCCCCCACTGGGCGTGCCATCTTTGGGCTATAGAACCCTTGATTTTGCTTTTTATCTCTAGTTTACTAAAGGGAATAGACTGTATCTCCGCTTTGTCTAGGGCTAGCTTCGCCAGTTTGTCTGCTTTTTCATTTCCATGAATATTTATGTGAGAGCGGATCTAACACAGCTCCACATGTTGCCTTTGGTCCAATAGTTTTGTATATTCGAATAGAATATTATTGACTGTGTTTGCCCTGGAGTTTGAGTTCCTGTCGCTGATGGCTTTGAAGTGCACTTAGCGAGTCTGATAGGACGACTGCCTTTGCTTCTGGAAGTTCCGGTATGAGTTTGAGTGCATGATGAATTACCTCCAATTAAGCAGTGTTTCCTGACTGACCATCAGGCAGGCGAACCGAATGAGCTTGGGGTTTGGAGCTGTGGATATGGATCCCATAACAGCATTGTTGTTGATAGGATTCTTGGATCCATCAGTGTATATATTGGCCCAGCTGTCCCAGGTAATTTGAATTTTAGTGATAGCTACTGATCGTAGAAGGGTTGGGTTTTCATTTTTAGTGACTTCTGATGTTAAAGCAGTGTCAACTTTGGGAGTTTTTAAAGACCAGGGTGGGTGTTACTCTTTGTAATGACTTTCTGGTGGCTGAATGTCATCACAATTGTGACTTTGGATGAGTTCTCGAATAATATCCGAGATGGCTTTAGTAAGGGATTTTTTCCGAGCTAGGGCTTCATTTCGGGTGTTTTTGCCTTGCCATATCGTTTTAACCAAAGGGTTGATGTTCGTCCACAGAACGATAGTATTGCCTGCTCTATTCTTAGTTTCAATGCGAGTTCTCCCATTTCCTTTGGGTGTGCTTCTAATGAAGTGCCCGTTGCTGCACCTGTGGCAAGCATTAGGGCTTTGTATTCTGTCAAGACAGTGTTTGATGCTGAGTGAAAGGCTGATCTGATAAGTAATTTTTAGAGGTCCAGCTGAGTGTCCCCCGATTCGTTTGAATAGAACTCCAACAGTTTTTTCACTTGTAAGGGTAAACCCCCATGTATTGCACCATTGTCTTTTTTCGGATTTGTGAAATATCACTGTGCTTTACCCATGTTGTTCCGTCATCAGCGAATTTTGGAGTTTGAGTAGGAGAGTTGACATGATCAAAAAGATCATTGATCATGATGTTGAACAGGATTGGGCTTATAATGCTGCCTAGTGGCGTGCCATAGGATCAGATTGATTGTTCCCTATTTAAATTGATAGTGACCTGTCTTGCAGGAAGTTGTCCATGAGGTTTGCCATGTTCCCTTCTACTTCATTTTTTGCTAGTTTTGCGAGGGGTCCGTCATGCCATACCATGTCGAAGGCTTTGCTGAAGTCCAGAAATACCGTGGCTAGGTGTTTTCTGTTTAATTCAGCTTTTTTTATTTCATTTTTCAGTCTTAGAATATGATCTAGATATGAGTGTCCCTTCCTGAAGCCACTTTGGTCAGACTTGATGTGGCTGCCAGTTTCAGGGTGATGCATGAGCCTTTTTTATAACCATGGCCTTCATGGCTTTGCACATTTTTGAGGTGACTGAGATCGGTCGATAAGAGTTTGGTAGGGCTTCGTCTTTCCCTTGCTTTAGCAGCGAGAGAACTGCAGCATGTTTCCATGCTTTTGGAACTTGTGCTTTGGACCATATCGTGTTATACAACTCAGTGAGTAAGCTTTTGGTTTGATCAGGTAGGTTTTTCAATATATCGTAACTGGTTGTGTCAAGACCAGATGCTGTGCCTTTTCAATGTTGAATCGCATCCTCAAACTCTGTCACAGTAAATGGTATATTGTATACAAGATGCTTGCTTCGCGGCTGTTTTGATACCTTAAGCATAAGTAATTTTTTTCTGTTTGAATTCTTCGCTGCAATTTGTGTTGCTGGTGACAGATGAGAAGTGCTCGTCTAGAATGTTGGCCTTTTCTTTCACTGTATGTGCGTTGGCTGACTTGGGAATTTTTGTGGGTTAACGCTTACTCCTGATTGCGTGTATTTTGCTCCAGACTGTTTTAGCATTTGTTTTTTTCGTTTAGAGATTTGCGGAAGGTCTGCCATGACTCTTTTTTTAGAATCATCTATGAGCTGTCTTACTTTTGTCCTGGCTGCTCGGTCTAGGGCGACGGCTGATTTATCCCTTAGCTTTTGCTATTTCCCTGTTCAACCATGGTACCGGAGTTTTGCCAGTTTTCTGGGTTTTTTTTCAAATTGAATTTTCAGCTGTGGTTATAATTGCTGAGGTGAGATTTTGGCAAAAAAAGATCAGGATTATCCATTTCAATTTCTAAGGATTTGAATGATGTACATTCCTTCCTGAATTTAGGCCAATCAGCCTTTGCATTGTCCCATGTGGGCTGAGGATTGGGTTGTTCCTCTAACTGTGGTGGGCTACCTATGTAGGTGAGTATAGAAAGGTTATCGCTACCCCAAGTGCCATCATGGACTTGCCATTGGCAATGTGAGGAGAGGTTGTTGTGACAATTGTGAGATCAATTGAACTCCACATATTGTGGACTTAGTCATAACGTGTGTGACTGCCGTTGTTCAGAGTTATGAGACTGTCGTCTTCAACCCATTTCTCTACCATTTTGCCGTATTTGCATGAATCATTCCTTCACATAGAGGACTGTGGGCAATAACGTCACCAAGGATTATCCCATTTTTCCTGCTATTTGAGCTGGACTCGTTAGCTCTTCAATGTTTGTTTCATATGTAATCACGACTGTAGAGAGAGATTTTAGTGATTTTACGACCGCTTCAGCCGTTGGCTATTTCACAGTCGGGGGCAGACGGGTTAAATAAAAAAATAATAATTGGGAATAAAGAGTAATCGGCTGGCCCAAAAAACTGTAAATTAGAGGGGGTAAGGGTAGAAAAGAAGATAGTAAAGAGGGTTTAATGGGAGAAGAAGCTTAGTGGTAGAAGATAGCTGTTGCGAGGCCCAGTCTATAATACTATGAGGAGGTGATAAAGGGTATAGCGCTAGTAATGTAATATAAGATCAGTTAAGCTGATGTTTTTAATATAATATATAGGTAATAAGTTATTTTTAAAGAAAAAGGGGGTAAAAGAGGGAAACCTACTTTAACTCTTTGATCCCTGGCTGCCCCAGAGTTATGTCCCTTGAAACCCTGCAGTCCCTGACACTGACAAGGCCTGCACACTGGCCTCCCTGGCAGTATTATTGGAAAATCACACTATCATTTTTGATGCACTTTTTCTACCAGAAACTTGCTTTTAATATACATTTATCATATACCATTGTAAAGAGGATTAAGTATACTGTAATATTCTTTGTTGTTATTGTCTCTAACCTTTGTTATTTTCTAATTACAGGTGTTTACAAGTGAAATATAACTTGAAAACACTGAAAAAATGAAAACAGACAATGAATTTTGGCTCAAACTGTATTAAAAATCACAAAAATAAATCACAGATACAAGGTAAACATAACACAGTGGTCTTGTCATCTTGGACGGCACAGGTAATCCAAGGTGTTACAGGTAAATTCTCTTCATGCACATCTGTAAACAAATAAACAAGTTTACAACTCTTGGTACTGACTTTGTTTTCTATACTGATGTCACATATTACTTATGATACACTTACAGCCTCTTAGGTAAACTCGTTAACACAGGTAAACATGTTAACGCATGTAAACTCGTTAACACAGGTAAAAACACAAATATTTGATTTATTTTGTTCTTTTTCAGGATTTGAAACAAAAATTAAGTATTCAAGTTTTAAATAGTAATTTATCACATTACCTGAACATTGAACCACAGCTACTATAAGAATGACATCACAGAGAAGATATCACAGATTGATCTGAAAGGAGGGAAAGATTGTAAAAGGACGGAAAGATCGTAAATTCAAGTTCTGCAAATATACAAGTTGTGATAACATATTTACAATACACTGCTATTAAGAATTGCATAATAAATTAAATCAGTTCTTTATTACATCAATTAATAAATAAATAATTATTACAGTTACTAAAATTTAAATTAAGATGTGTAAAACAAGAAAACAAACATGAATATGGAAATAAATTTTATTCAAATTGAGCGAAATATAAGGACCAACGACAAACCGACAAACTGCAATTCGGATTGCGATCAGAAAATTAAATTTAAAAAAAAAGAAAGAGATACGTCATGCCACTCACCTTTGTTGTTGTTGTGATCGCTCGTTCACTTGTAGACTGCATTCTCATTCGTCGCACTGAAAAACTGTTCAAACACAGAATCCTTGTAAAACTATGGAATACTGTAAGGGACATTCTCGCGATCTCGCATTCTCGCGATCTCGACCTTTGGAAACGAGGTAAAAATGCCCAAAACACGAGAATGCGAGATCGCGAGAACGCGAGATTTGGCCAAAATCTCGCATTCTCGCGATCTCTCATTCTCGTGTTTTTGGTACATAGCACTTTTTGTCAAAAGTCGACAACGCGAGAATGCGACATTTGGACATGATGCAAAATCTCGCAATCTCGCAATCTCGACTTGTCAAATTAGGCCACAAAAACACGAAATCGCGCGAACGCGAGAATGCGACATTTCATTTTCTCGCGATCTCGCGTTCTCGTGTTCTCGCGTTTTAGACGCTGTCCGTGCGCATGCGTAATATCATAAGGTCAAGCGCATGCGCACGTTAGTAGTCCTTTGGTCATGCTTCTTTCATGCTCTTCATTCTCCAAGTAGCATTTAGCAAACTTATGACTTGAGCTTGAAAATGCTATGTAATTTACATACACAAAGTCTGAGTCATGTCCCGTTGTTACAACTACCTGTGTACTTTATAATAAAACCCTCAACAAACAATTCCAAACAATGTAATTATTTTATCCATTTTGATTGTATTATTGGCCTAGGGCCTAAAGTACAAAAGTAAAGTCTGTCTGTCTGAAATAAATCAGGTGCAACCTAGCTCTTAGTTAACATCATATATTATTCCAAACAATGTAATTATTTTATCCATCTTGATTGTATTATGGGCCTAGGGCCTAAAGTACAAAAATAAAGTCTGTCTGTCTGTTCATCCGCCCGCCCGTCCGTCCGTCCGTCTGTTTGTCTGTCTGTCTTTTCGTCCGTCCGTCCGTCCGTCTGTCTATCTGTCTGTCTGTCTGTCTGTCTGGATCTAGAACCTGTATGTTAAATTTATTGTTAGATTATATGTGCACAGCTGGTTCATGCGGGACACACGCAAAGTATTGAGCAGGAGATTTATTATTGACAAAAACAACAATAGGAAAATCAATAAACGTAAGATTTATGGATCTAGAACCTGTAGGTTTACTTTATTGTCAGATTATAGGTGCACACCTGGTACCTGCAGCACACAAAATATTGAGCAAGAGATTAATTATTGACAAAAGCAACAAAAGGACTATCAATAAACGTAAGCTTTATGGGTACTAGAACCTGAAGTTTTATCAACCTATTTCAGAGAGGCTTATTTCAAATCGGAACAGTTAGTACATGGTATTATGTCGACAGTAGTATAATCATGGTTTTTGAGAATATTGATGATATTGCAGTATGTTTGAGAATGTGGAATAGTATTGAAGTATGTTGGAGAATATGGAATGGTATTGTGGTATTTTAGCTTTCTATGGTTGATAATACAGAACAACTAGCAATGTACATCATGCGTTTATCTTTATTTCTTACATACTTTGTTCCATCGGTTGAGGGTGCATGAACGGTTCACTCGTCTGAGGCGCTCCAAATCGTTATGCAGAGATTCCAATGGTCGTGGGTTCGAATCCCTGATTTGTCCCGATTATAATTACCTGGTTGTAACAAAACCCGTACAACAACAAAGCGTACACTACGGCCTGTGTCAGTTAGGGCTCTCATCCGACATTATGTTGACACATCATGATATAACTGAAGTCCTGTTCACAACGTCCTGAACCAACTAACTTTTTTAATAGCTGCATGTAGCTGTAACAAAAGAACGTCAACGCCAGAGAATAACCAGTCTCGATTATCGCCGAAACAGATTCCGTTGGACGTAAAAGGCAAATGGCGGTGATAATTATGACACGCATTGAGCAAAAGGATTATCATGGACAACAAATTCAATAGGACTAAGCTTTATGGATCTACAACCTGAAGGTTTATTAATTCAGATTCTATTGGGCGTAAAAGGCAAATGGCGGTGACGTTTATATCAATAAAAAAATTGTTCGCGTAAAATACGTCATATACATCTATATCAATGTTGATCTTGCAAGTGACATGTTTAGAACAGAAATTCAATAGAATTGATATTTGAGACTATTTAGATTTTCTGTCCACAGCCAGTTCATGCGAATAACACCCAAAGTATTGAGCAGAAGACAAAATAATCAATAGGACTGTCTAGAAACGTTAACTTAATGGATCTAGAATCTGATGATTTATAAGTTGGAATACTTATTTCAAAGAGGCTTATTTCAAATGGGAACAGGTAGTTCTTGGTATTATAGCGACAGTAGTATACTTTTTAAGCAAAGAAACGCAATACGGGAATGTTTGGCCATAAAAGCAAAATTAGAGGACCAAGAGTCTCAAAATAAAGAGGTTCAATGACTTATAGCGTCAGGGACAGATTTCCCGGATCAACATGATCACAACAACGACAAACCATTGGTCGGAAAACAGGTACGATTCGAAAAAACGCACCCAGTGCATTAACAAAAGGGCCATGGAGCTGCACGTACTGCACGTGCAGCAGCACTATGAACGGTATTAAAGTGCAGGGTTTCTGATTGCCTGGCATCTTCGTCAATCGAACGGTGACAGTTCAACAACATGCCAAGATTAAGAGAAGGGCAAAGAAACAACGTCATAGGCCGCTTGCAGGAAGGGGAATCCAGATCAGCTGTAGCCAGGGTTTTCAATGTAGCGCCCAGCACCATCACAAGTCTATGGTATCGGTTTCAACAGCATGGGTCAACACGTGATCGGCCAAGGTCGGGACGACCAAGAGTAACCAACCATCCCCGCCCAAGATAGCCTCATCCGACTACGCCACCTACGTAAAAGGACGACCACAGCCACCTTAACCGCATCCAACATGCCCGGACTGCGCAGAATCTCCGACCAGGCCGTACGAAACAGTTTAAGAGCAGCAGGTCTGCGAGGTCCTGTTCGACGCGTCATATTGAGTCAACATCGTGAACAACGACTGTATTAATGTCGTCAGCACAGGGTATGGTTTCAACTGAGATGGAGAGATGTCTGGTTCAGCGACGATTCAATATTTTTCTCCGTCGAGGGGATGGAAGAAGGGTCTACAGACGTCGGGGAAAACATTACGCCGGAAACAGCGTGCAGGAAGTGGACAGGTGTGGTGGAAGTAGCGTGATGACGTGATATTGTTACGGCTCAACGATACATCAACGTAATTCTCCTACCACACGTCCTCCCATTTGCAGCCAACGGCAACAGTGTATTCCAGCAGAACAACGCTCGACCGCAAGAGCCTGTCTACACAACAACAACATTTATGTTCTCACCTGGTCCTCCAGATCCCCGTATTTGAACCCGGTAGAGCATCTATGGGATGAATTCGATAGACGGCTACGCCTGTCTCCAACTACAGACCACCATCACCACACCATGTCAGTGTCTCCACCTGCAGACCACCATCACTACTACATGTCAGTGTTTCCACCTACAGACCACCATCACTAATACATGTCAGTGTTTCCACCTACAGACCACCATCTCCACAACAAGTCAGTTTCTCCACCTTTCAGATCATCATCACTACTACATGTCTGTGTTTACACCTGCAGACCATCATCACTATTACATGTCTGTGTCTCCACCTGCTGTCCACCATCACTACTACATGTCAGTGAAACCACCTACAGACCACCATCACTACTACACTCAATGTCTCCACCTACAGGCCACGATCACTACTTCATGTCAGTGACTCCACCTACAGATCACCATCACCACACTATGTAAGTGTCTGCACCTAGAGACCACCGTCACCACACTATGTTAGTGTCTGCACCTACAGACCACCATCACTACTAGATGTGAGTGTATCCACCTACAGACAACCATCACCACTACATGTCAGTGTCTCCACCTACAGACCACAATCACTACAACATGTCATTGTCTCCACCTGCAGATCACCATCACTACAACATGTGAGTGTCTCCGCCTACAGACCACCATCACTACAACATGTCAGTGTCTCCAACTACAGATCACCATCACTTCAACATGTCTGTGTCTCCACCTACAGACCACAATCACTACAACATGTCATTGTCTTCACCTACAGATTACCATCACTACTACATGTCAGTGTCTCCAACTACAGATCACAATCACTACAACATATCAGTGTCTCCACCTACAGATCACCATCACTACAACATGTCAGTGACTCCTCCTACAGACCGCCATCACTACTACAAGGCAGGGTGTCCAACTACAGACCACCATCAATACTCCATGTGAGTGTCTCCACCTGCAGACCACCATCACTACTACATGTCAGTGTTTCCGACTACAGACCACCATCTCCACAACAAGTCAGTTTCTCCACCTTTCAGATCATCATCACTACTACATGTCTGTGTTTACACCTGCAGACCATCATCACTACTACATGTCTGTGTCTCCACCTACAGACCACCATCACTCCTACACTCAATGTCTCCACCTACAGACCACGATCACTACTACATGTCAGTGACTCCACCTACAGACCACCATCACCACACTATGTTAGTTTCTGCACCTAGAGACCACCGTCACCACACTATGTTAGTGTATCCACCTACAGACAACCATCACCACTACATGTCAGTGTCTCCACCTACAGACAACAATCACTACGACACTCAGTGTCTCCACCTACAGACCACCGTCACCACACTATGTCAGTGTCTCCACCTACAGACCACCATCACCACACTTTGTCAGTGTCTGCACCTACAGACCACAATCACCACACTATGTCAGTGTCTGCACCTACAGACCACCATCACAATTACATGTCAGTGTCTCCACCTACAGAACGCCATCACTACTACATGTCAGTGTCTCCACCTACAGACCGCCATCACTACTACATGTCAGTGTCTCCACCTACAGACCGCCATCACTACTACATGGCAGCGTCTCCACCTACAGACCATCATCACTAGTACAGTCAGTGTCTCCACCTACAGACCACCATCACTAATACACTCAGTGTGTCCACCTACAGACAACCATCACTACTACATGTCAGTGAAACCA